TCGACTTGAAAAAATTTACTCACAGTATTCATAGCATGCAACAACTTATACTAAATGACCTGCCAAGCAAGAACTCAAAATTCTCTAGTTCATATATTGCTAAGGACTCAGCTTCACTCTTTGTTTTAAGGTCTTCAGCAATGTTTTGTCGAGTCAAGTAAAGCGTCTCTTATTCGTACAGATTGCTCTTTTATGGGCTTGACACTTTCCCAGCGTGTTTGTGACAATGGCTTAAGTGTCAGACCTTCAACCTTATCTTTAAAACTTTTCCATCGTTTGAGAGAAGAAGAGAACACTGTGTAGATGCATTGTATCACTCCAAAGAAAGACATAGCTTTAGAACAACAATTTGCCATATCACATAATGCTAGATTAAGACTATGACAACCATATGGAGTATAGAAAGCTTTAGGATTTATTTCAAGTAACCTTTTTTGTCCACTTCTATGTCTCCCGCACATGTTAGCTCCATTGTCGTACCCTTGACCTCTTATATTATCAATATCAAGCTCAAGATTCTTTAACACATTTTTAAGCTCGGTGAAAAGTCCAAGTTATGATGTATCATCCACCTTAAAAAAATTCAATCCAGTATTCTTGTAACAACGACGAGTCTATTGAATCATCCACGTATCGTATTACTAGAGATATTTGCTCCTCATGACTCGCATCTACAGTACAATCAAGTATGATAGAAAAATACTGCTTGTTTCACTTTTGTGACAATTGCATTTCTTACCTCGCTTGCCAAAGTTTGTATCAATTGATTTTGAATCTTAGGACTAAGATATGTATACTGAATCTCACGTGCTTGAGTACATCAAATGTGTTCTTTTATTATTGATCAAACTCAGCAACCGTTTCGATCATTTGCAAAAAAGTCCATTGTTCTCAACATAAAGTTGCTCAAAATTTCCTCAAAATGCCAAAGTATTTTTAGCAAGTCTTTTCACAATAGAAATTATCCTTGTAAACACTTGTTTCCAATACTCTATTTCTTTGTTGATAGCCAATTGTATACCATCATCACTTGTATGTTTTGTTTGAAGGCTATTTTCTAGTTCCATCCAACTAGTCATGCTATGCTCCTTAGCCACTTCACGAATTATAAGGTGCCGATGCACATTATGCCAATCTTTGTATCCGTCATTACCATTTTAGCGAGCATTTTTACAATAGTAATTATCCTTGTGAACACTTGTTTCCAATGCTCTCTTTCTCAATTGATGGCCAATTGTATGCTTTCATCAATTATATGTTTTGTTTGAAGCCCATTTTCCAGTTCCATCCAACTAGTCATGCAACTATATGCTCCTTAGCCACTTCACGAATTATAAGGTGCCGATGCACATTATGCCAATCTTTGTATCCGTCATTACCCAATTGACCAATATTTTTCATCGTTTTTCTATTTTAAACAACTCGCAGCAAAAACAAAATATCTTATATAAAGAAATTGAATACACTAGCCATCTTCTATCAATTGTCTGCCCATTTGCCAGTAGTCGCTTATAACCTTGACTATCTTTGGGAAACAAGATGTTATCAACTCTTTTTGGATCCATTTCAACTAAAAAGTCCCTTATCTTTTGATCAATGGGAATGTCCTTCCAATTTCCAAGATCATCAAAATTCAAAGAAAATAAATTCTTTTGATTTAAATCTTCATGTTGAACATTATCTTCGTCATTCTGCTTTGATTCATTCATATTGACAGGTTAAATCGTTCTCTTTTCGATCATCTACATTATCGTTATCATTCTGATTTTGTTGTTCCTCAATCACTAAATTTTTCGATGTTCATTCCTTCTATTTTCTTTTCTTGTTATTAAAATACTTATCCATATCTCCAGTCTGGATTCGAATTAATGCCTCTACTCTTTCTCTCTTCTTTTTTCGAGCTCCAGATGCATATTTAGGAACCATAGTATTTGACTGAAGTCACTCAATAACTAACACTTGCTAACTGTAAAATTATAACAAAAAATACATCAATCAACTCTCCTGTAATTTCACAAAATGTTAATAAAATAGATTTAATGAAATACAAGCAGTAATATGGTCATTGGAACTTAAAATAAATTAATGGCATTAGCAAATCCACATGGCCCAAATCAACAAATTCAGTTATTAACTTAGAAGTAAACAAATCAGGACTAAAATGAAACAATTCTAATAATTGAGTGACCATGTCCTTAAAACCCCCAATTCTCACATCCCACAGATTATGTGTTGACTTTTTTTTTACCAAATACCATTACCAAGTTACCATCTTTTCTAATCCGGTAATCCCCTACAACCTCTAACCTCTTTTTTAGTTTAAAAAGTCCACCAACTTAGTTTTTTAGTTAGATGACCTCAAAATACAAAGAAAAGGAAAATACAATTTGTAAAATACTAAAATATCCATGTATGAAAAATGCATAGATTTTCATAACGACATTGAAAACATTCCTGAAACACAAAACGATATTTATGTCGTTCTAGTACTAATTTACATAATGATATTGAAATCGTTCCTGAGATATAAAACGAAATTGATGTTGTTCCAGTATTGAAAAATACACTGCT